CTCTCTCTCTCTCTCTCTCTCTCTCTCTCTCTACTATACTATATATATATCTATATATATATATATATATATATAGATAGATAGATAGATATAGATAGATAGATAGATAGATAGATAGGTATATTCGTCCATCTGTCTGTCTAATTGTCTGTCTATTTACCGATATGATAACAATAATAATAATATTAATTACCACAATAATAGCACTAGTAACAACAAATAATACTATCGTTTTCCGGTATGTTAATTTAATGTTATACTAACATAGATATTTTTCAATAATTCTACGCTTGATGAGCATACTAAACGTCGCGTTGTCATTAGCTGGAATCAGAAGGCCTTTATCACGTGTTTTGCCACCCTGATGTATTTTACACCTCTCCAAATAACAAAATATTTTTGAAACGAATGGTCCGCAAGTGCCCATTAAACATATTAATGAAGGCTTGTCGTCGCTTCTTTGTTTGTTCTCTTGGTCGGCGGAGACATAATGGACAAACTCCATCAGAGTGAGCTGTCAGGGGACTCGTTAGGGTGCGTTAGTCAGTTAGTCGCCATGTCTTCTTGGTCATAAATCGTTATTGTAGCAACTGCCTATAATCCACGTTGATGATGTCTTTATACGCTAGGAGGCGGGCGTCTGCTGTATACGTGTGTCGTATAGCATACGGGAGAGAGGGTTTGCATTTGTACGAGTAAGCGTCGCTATACGTGACTAGGCTGTGTGCCATCTGGAATTCGACTTACCACGCAATAAAAGATGAGACGCGATGTTGATAGCACCAGATCGAGTAGTGTCGTCGCTGATTTTAATTCTCCTGTCCTTTTCGTTATTAATATATATATATTCGTAGTAATTTCTGCGCGCATTTAGAAAATAGTGTGACTGTATTTTAACTTAAAACATCAACGACGACACTTAAAGCTGCCATTGCATATATCCGCTGGTAATCATGCGACAGGCTCGTGTGTGTGTGTGTGTGTGTGTGTGTTTGGTTGTGTGTGTGTGTGTGTGTGTGTGTGTGTGTGTGTGTCGTGTGTGTGTGTGTGTGTGTGTGTGTGTGTGTGTGTGTGTGTGTGTGTGTGTGTGTGTGTG